TTTGCTTGTGGACATTGACATTTGAATTTCATATAAATTTCATGGGTCACAAAAGATTAATCTTGTGGTTTATTTACAACCACTCAGAAATGTAAAAAACATTCTTAGCTCAGGAGACACATAAGCAGCTGCCGGATCTGGCCCATGGGCCATAGTTTGCCAACTCCAGCTCCACAGTGATGAATACTGGCAACAATTCACTATACTGTGACTATACGTACTGTGAATGTGTGTGGTCCCTTCATAACACGCCCTTACCAACCATGAGAATTATGATCTATAATGGTTCTTAAATTAACAAGTGGCAAAACTTAAAATCTTACGGGAAAAATATTTTCACTAATATTTTTAAAAATGGTCAACACATTTTTAAAAGGTATTTTGCATACAAAGTACCTTTTATAAAAAGATACTTTACATATCTTAAACCCCAAATAGTGGGGTTCTGTGTAATACATTTCTAGTTACCATCCCTGCTCAAAAAAAATTTGTAAGATAAATGAGGCAGTGCTAAGCTTGTTTTGTTTTGACAATGTTTTCTGTTGAGACTTTTTTCAAGGTATTTTTATTCATCCAAATGTTCAATGGCTTTCTGATTTTAAAATTAGTATTCATACACTCTCACCTTCTGAGCGGTGCCATAGTCCAAGAATTTGGATGTGTGATATATAAAAAGCTTTAGATTTTGTTTCTTCAACCTAAACCACATATCTACATATTTTTAACCTCCCTCCCCATACATAAGCTTATACAGCATTGCCTATCTATGACAACTTCCTAGGCACACTTAACAAATATTTCTACTGGATTATTTTCCTATTTTTTTGATTGTTCGTTTCAACTTTCATTACACATCCTTTACTTCTGCAGACTTTCTACTTTAACTCCCATTTTTATTTCCAATCTGCCGTTGCTCTTTTTCTAGCTGTCTACAACAGTTGACACGTGCATGATACATATATCTAAACTATACTTCCCAGCTGTGGAAAAGGTCCCAGCATCATTTCCCCAGACGGGACATCAAGGATCACTGTACCATTTCCTCTTTGCTTATATGTGTGCTTGCAAAAACCCATAATCAAGAGTTTTAGAAAAGCAGAGCATATGTTCTTATACTCTTGATTTGGTCACAAGAGGAATTTGTGATTGAGACAAAATGAGCATATTTATCTGCCACACCTAAGTGTCCTTGTTCACGCTGCTCCCAGAATTTTCTGCCTGAGAAAATTCCCCTCAACCTCCAAGGACAGGAACCTGTGGGAAGCATCCGTGAAAGATCTGCTGAGGTTCTCCTCTGCATCCCCAAAGCATTTCATACCTCTCCATTAAAGCACTTACGACTGCATTGCATTTGCTTGTTTATGTAACTATCCCACCCCCACCTGCCCACCCTACTAAGTCAATAAACAACTTTCATCTTTTCTTTTTTTCCCTGCCTCCCTCATGCCTAACACAGTGCCTGGAATAGAGCATCAAGATTGCATTTCTCAGAAATATTGAGGGCAGTGTCCCAAAAGGAATGACTTCAGGGGCTTCCCCAGCCAACTTCCATCAGCATCCTTAATCTCCCTCCTCCCCTAAAAAGTCAGCAGACAATCTAAGTAAAAATACTTAGATTTTTAAAAATTAAAAAAAAAAAAAAAACACATCACTTCAAAACAAGTATTTCAAGGCCCTCTTATCAAGAGACTGCCACTCTTAAACTCTTAAAATAAATTCTAGCAATAACACCATGGAAAATGCAAGGTTCTCTTAACACTACAAAATAATATGCTCACATAGCAACTCACAGTTTTCACATTACTTTCATGATTTTTTTTTCCATTTGGCCCACTAATCCTTGGTAAGACAGATAGCATTAGCCTCAATTTTCAGTCACTCAAGGAAATAAAAGTGACATGTCCAAGATCAGAGCTTGTGATTGGTGACAGCTCTAGGCCTAAAACACTTAATTTGATTAAGGGTTAAATCTTAAATTGATCTGTCTACTCTCCTGCACTCCAGGAAAATTAGGCTTGGTATCTATGGAGGATTCTACCCCCAACTCCACCCCTGAACATTCTGTAGTACCAGATTAGATTGTGACACTATGTTCTAAAAATCCATTCCAAACAAAAATCATTTGGGCAAATACACATTATGAAAAGAAAGAGTCATGCCCCACTTGTGTTAGTTCTGTTCTATGATTTTTGCCATAAGTACTTAATGACTAGAGGGTTGCCAGTGAATCACTGACTGTTCAAAAAATGGCATGCCATGAATTTCTGCAAATGGAAATATGCAGTCTATTATCTAAACAATTTACTCATGAGGAAGCACCATTATTTATAAGGACAAGAGCTTGATTTTCTCTTCTTTGATAATTTGTCCTTCCTAAACTATTAAATTTAGATTACTTATCACATTAGCAGGTTCTTCACTTAGTTTCTCTACATAATTCTCCATGATTTAAACGTCACTTCAATTCTTTTACTATTTATTGCACACAACTCTTTTAATATTAGCACATATCATCTTAGACGTAAATAGGGCAATGCCTGCCAAAAAAATCTTGCTACTCTGTGGTAATTGAAAGGCAAAATTATTTCTCAGATATATTAAGTTATTCAAATGAGCCACATTTAGTTTTTCACAAATTATTTAATTTTTTCAACAAAGGCCTATCTAGTAAAGTATGCAGAGCACGTCACACTTCAGATTTTCAAGTTTGATCTGGTTACGAATCTGCTAATTGTAAAAATTTCAATATGGCAGAGTGCAAAATATTTCCCCCAAATGCAAATAGAGATGTCATGCAGATAACTGCAAGACATGAATCACTGCCCTGCTGCATCAAACTGGAAAAATCAGAGGCAGTTCACTCCGCAAGATTTCTTACCCAGTTCTTAAAAGTTCAGATGCATCACCTTTTAATCAGGGTAATAAACTAATTGCTAACATACTGGGTAATGTTTACTGCTAAACCCACAATCTGGACAAACAGAAAATTATGCTGTCAGAGCCTGCAAACAACTGCAGTCCGCTGTTACACACTGCACCCTCCTTGCACAGGGCTGTCGTCGGGAGTTACAGTGCTTTACGGTTTTAATTTTTTTAGAGTGAGGGTCTCTTCCCGAGAGGTAGGGTATTAAGACGAAAGCAGTCTCCCGCGTGACCTTCCTCACACAGACCTTGAGCGAGCGACTGCGGGGGCAGAAGCTGAGAATTTCAGAAGGCATTTGACAGCTCAACTGGGTCCTTCACACTTGGCTTTCAGGAACAAAAAAAAAAGCACGTTACTCTGCACCTGCCTCTCCACCCACCCTCCTTGAAACTTATTTACCCCTAAGGATCCCAGCCAGAAGAAGGTAGGAATCTAGTCTCTCCGGTGATGCCTAGGAAAATAAACCCCGACTGGAGCGCCGAGCCGGGAGTCGAGAGGGGCAGGGGGCGAGGAAACCTTGGAGGGGCGAGGGGAACCTGGAGGGGCTGGGGCTCCCCCCACTGCGCCGCAATTTCTCCACCACGTGTGAAAATCTCGCGCACCAGGTGCCCCATGAGAGACCGGGGTCTGCGTCCGCCGGTCCCAGGCGCGGATCCTCCGCTCCCTCCCCGCTCGGGGACCCTCCTCCCGCGGCCCCGGCGGGCGTCCTCGCGGCGGTCTCCGGGCAGAGACAGCGCGCAGAGCCTCGGCCGGCGGGGGCGCTTCCCCGGCTACCTTTTATCCAGGCAGGCGATCCACTCGGCCGAGGAGGAAGAATGGGCAGCGTGCGCAGCGACCATGATGGGCAGCGGCGCGCGGTGTCCCCAGGCTGCGGCGACCTCCCGCGCTCTCTCTGCCTGCGCCTCGCCCGCGCCTCGCCAGCCGCGCGGACCCGCTCCTCCCCGCCCGCCTCGCAGGGCCCGCCCGCTGCGGGGAGGGGGTCGGGGGGCGACCCCGGGTGGCAGGCCACCTGCGACAGGTGGCTGCTGCGTCTCCGGGAGACCTGGGCCGCACCCCTCACCTCGGGGCCTCCGAGGCGGGGAGGGAAGGAAGGCGCCGCGGATGGGGGTGGGGGGGACGGGGACGGATGTCAATGTCTATATATTTTTCATACAGCAAATGCCACTAAAATGGCTGCTGCCTCTCTGTTTCCTTAGAAACCCATTAGTCTCCCTCAGCAGCTGTCAAAACTTGCTGGCGGTTTCCTGCTCACCTTTGCTGTTTCTCCTTCAAAAAGGGATGGAGAGGAGGACTATGTGACTTGGCCTGGAAACACCCGCAGCGGTCTCAGTTTCCCCTGGGAGGCTGAGGGAGGCCTGGGACGGAACGGAGAGGCAGTGCAGACACGGCTGGAAGCCCAGAGGGCAGGCCAGGGCCCAGAATGGTGACCAGTGGTGACTGCTGTTGTTTAATCACTAAGTTGTGTCCGACTCTTTTGGACACCATGGACTGTAGCCCACTAGGCTTCTCTGGCCATGGGATTTTCCAGGCAAGAATACTGGAGTGGGTTGTCATTTCTTTCTTCAAGGCATGACTGAAGGGTTGAAAAACTGAAGTTTCCGGCCTTGAACCTTGCACTTGCTGGGGCTCCCATCACCTACTCAATGGAACACACACAAGCACACAATTAAGAATGGCAAGCAGTGGGGCCACAGCAGAACTGTGGTTCGGCTCGGGGACCAAGTTCCCACTGCCCTTGGGGTAACCTGAGTGGTTGGCCCCACGTGTCCTTCGTTCTGTGTCTGGAGTGTGGAAGGGGTGGTCACTACACCTGTCTCTGGTAGGTGTACAAAATAAATGATAGGCTTTGAAGTTCAGTTGCACTCTGTCAAAAATCAAATTCCACACCAGTGGTTGCTTAGGAATTTGGGGGCAAGTTAAATCTTTTAGACTACTACCAAGCAGTGTTTTGATACTGATGGTGTGCATTTGGAAACAGACAATGAGGAAGGAGACAGGGCGTTGCTAACCTCACTCTGTTATTTTTTTTCTCTCCTACACTCCTCTCATTCCGCTGCTCAAAGGATGTTCAAGGAGACTGGAGAGAATGAAACAGCAGGTGCATTCTGGCATCCTAATAAAAGCAGGTGCATTTTATCCCAATAAAACTCCTCCAAAGAAATTGCCATTTCCCCTCTGCTCCCTCGCCAGGATCTGGTTTCAGACCTAACTCTGCGCCCTCAGCAACATCGCCTGGTTCAGTGCTTGTCCCCCAGGTAACCTCCATCCTGTTGATTTCTACTGGGTTTAAGGTAAATAACATTTAAAATGTTATACTATACAGTGTTATACTATGCCAAAGGTATTTTTGTTGTTGCTTTTTTTCATAACAGAGATATGAAGAAGGAGATGAGTCTCCTATATTTATTAAGACTTACTTATAAAGGCATCAGAGAGCTCTTGAGAACATTCCAAGGTCACCAAATGCTTTCTCAAAATGCCTTTACCCAGAGAATATTTAAAGGTAAGGAGATAGAGGCAAAAAGGACTGCACATGACCTGTCATTACTGGAGGCTTGGAGTTGCTATAATTTTTAGCTCTGATACTAATAATAGTCATCATTTATTGAACATCCGCTGAGTATCAGGTGCTGTGCAGAGTTCTCTACATGTGTTACCTCATTTAATCTTCGGAACATTCTATGAAGCAGTCAGAAGGACAGATGTCAGGGTTACTCCACAAGGAGAGGACAAACGTCTTTGAAAATGCAATGAACTGGAGAAAATTGTTTATCAGTACTTCCAGGGAGAGTGTTGACTGGCTTGGAAAGAAGATGTTGATGAGCCACTTGGAGTGGCAGGGAAAGCCCAAGGCCCCTATTATGCTTGTTAAGGATTGTGGTCTGATGAACTGTAAGGCCTTTGTTTTGCCCTGTGGGGACCCTGCCTTTACTCTATATAGAAATTAAACAATCATTCAAAGAATATCCTTTCGAAGGCGCACCAAGAATCACTGACTTCCCAGAACAGGCGCATGTCCCTATCCAGCCCTGGACATAGGTTCCAGCCACTGCAATATACTCCCTGGGACACTGAACCTTGAGGGGCTCATACCTTGCTGGTGAGACTCCAGCTACCGGAGCAGGAGGCCTTGAATCAGATTTGGGTCTGTCTGATTCCACAGCCATGGCACTGGGCAATGGTGTAACTGGTTTTGTCTATAGCATAAGGTTAGAAGACATGTCAAAAGTGACTGCTCAGGGGATAAGAGTAAAAGGGTTATAAATTGTTTTTCATAATAATTTTAAAAATAATAAACCTGTCTAGTAGGGGAAAGGAAAAAAGAATATGTAATGCTCTTTAGGCAGGAAATAAAAGTGTAGATAAAAAGTAAATATTACTGAGAATTCCACCATCTAGAGCTAACACTGCTAATATTTTAGCACATTGCATTCTATATTTTCTATTTTTGAAAGATACAATCACACATACACCCATAAACAAATGCATATAACTTGCTGCTTACATTCAAGCATGTATATATGAAAAAAAGTATGTATATATGTCTATGCCTGCATGATAAGTCTCTTCAGTCATGTCCAACTTTGTGTGACCCTATGGGCTGCATCCTGCCAGTCTCCTCTGTCCATGGGATTCTCCAGACAAGAATAGTGGAGTGGGTTGCCATTTCCTTCTCCAGGGTATCTTCCCCAGCCAGGAATCGAACCAGTGTCTCTTATGTCTCCTGCGTTAGCAGGTGGGTTCTTTACTATTACTGCCACTTAGGAAGCCCAAACATGTGTATCAATACATGTATTCATACTTGAAAGCATTATTCAGACTTGAAAGCATTATTACTTTATAGGCTACTTCTAATTGGAATGGAAAAATGCTTTGTGTATTTAAATGAAATTTTCATTAAAAATTTTTACTGGCTATGAAATATTCCAACATATGGATGTAACTAAACTTTTTTAAAAACTGATATATAATTGACATATTATATTAGTTTCAAGTATACAACATAATGATTTGATATCTGTATTCATTGCAAATAATCACCACAATGTCTAGTTAACATACAGCACCACACACAGCTATAGTTTTGGGGTTTTTTTTTTTATGAAAACTTTTAAAATTTCCTCCCTTAGTAACACTTTATTTTGAAGTCTATTATTTTGATTGGCAAAAATCTGCTTAATCCCCTTCCTATAGCTTAGCCTTCTATTAGAGAGCTAAACATCTCCAATGATCTCTAATGAAATGAACACGAGAAATGGCAAGACCCAGGTGTGTTAATGCTAACTGTTAACTAGTTATAGAACATTGAATGGGTTACTTAATGTTCGAGTTCCATTTTGTTCATCTGAGCAGAGGCTCAAAGTTAGGAATTTGAGGACTGACAACTGAGTTCAAATTCCAGCTTCATCTTCTACTAAGTAAACACTTAAAATGAATTGCTTCACCTAAGACCCTGTTTCGTCATCTGTAAAGTGGAGAAATTAATGGTATTATACTTGAATATGTTGCTTGTAAAACATTTAACGTAAGTGCTAACCATGTGGTATGCACTCAATAACTCTTAGCTATTATTATTGTTATTATTCTCTGTACAGTGAAGATAAATAGAATCTGCCTTCTGCATTTTACAGGGACTTGGTGACAATCAATTGAGATCACTTATACTAAAGGGCCTTGACCTTGGTAAATTGCAAGCGATGACTGTGTAGAGTACAAGGGATGAATGTGCCTCCCAGAGAAACAGCAAAGCTTTCCAAGGACTTCTTTAAACTTAAACTCACAATCTTTTCTGCATTCAGCCTAAGCCTAGCTCTACCATTTCCATAGGACAGCTACAGGTACATACCTCTGTGTAGTTATTGCAATGTGTATTAATAGATCAACAGTGCAGTGATTGAAAAAAGAAAGTGAAAGTGTTAGTCGCTCAGTGGTGTCCAA